GAACAGTGGTAAAAAAGAAAAACAGATATAGAGAAAAGAAGGAAACACACACACACACACACACACACACACACACACACACACACACACACACACACACACACACACACACACACAGAAGAACAAGGCTATGTAAAACTTTCTTTGTGATTTGAGAGGACCAAGTTTATGGAGGGGGGGAGGAAGGAGAGGAAGAGGGGGGGAGGAGGAGGAGGAGAGGGGAGGAGGAGGAGGAGGAAGTAGAAGAAGGAGAGGAGAGAGGAGGGGGGAGGAGGGAGATGGAGGATGGATGAGGGGGAGGAAGGAGATGGATGGGGATGAGAGAGTGGGGGGAAGGGTCCAGTTGCCATAGTTACGGTGGTCCTACCTCACCCTACACCATAAACCTGGAAAACTTGCAACACTCAACCCCTTCACCATCCCTCTCTCTCTCTCCAACAACCACCCATCTACCCATCACCCCCCACTACCCCTACAACCATCTTCCACCCCTCCACCTACCCTGTCTCCCCACCTTCACCACCACCACCAACCACCACCTCCTCTCACCACCACCCACTCATCACCACCCACCACCACCACCACCACCTTCTGCAGTGCCAAATGTTTTCACACTACCATAGGGCTGTCCACTGCTTCGCCTTCTTCTGTTACGCCTGCACACCATCTATGATATGTGTGGGGGCCGTTATTGGTATTTCTAGTCTTTACTGCGTCTACGGGTACATGTTTACTGCCGTCCCCAGAGAGATATTGAGAGCAAATGGACGTGTAATCATGAAATAGGGAGAAAAATCTAACTGAAATGGGAAGAAAGTTGAATTGGGATGGGATGGTAGTCGAAATGGGATGCATGCTAAAATGGGATGGAAGTTAAATTGGTGATGGGTAGGTAGTTGAATTGAAATATATTTATATATGTGTTTATACTGTATGTCTATGTGAATTATCATCTCTCTCTCTCTCTCTCTCCACTGTATCTCAATAACTACGTTTTCTGGGTACAAGGAATATAATTTATAGTCAGGATCTTCGCTACAGGATTTTAGTGTAGGAAATGTTGTGGTGTAGGTGTAGAATGTATGTGGTGTAGGTGTAGAATGTGTATTTGAGGTGTAGAATGTGCTGTAAAAGACTGATGTTTGTGAATGTGCAGGTACACACACACACACACACACGCAGGTAAACACACACACACACACACACACACACACACACACACACACACACACACACACACACACACACACACACACACACACCCAGTTCAGTAATGTACCCAATAACGGCTGTAAACTACGCTCTACTGCCATATATCAACTACTTAACTGACCACAATTGGCAGTTTGTTGTGATTTATTCGGACTGTTGTTTTGGTTATTACATCTGTGTTATATTGTTGGTGATGATGGTGGAGGTTTTTATTTACTCATTTGTTTATTAATTTAGTCGTGTGTCTCACGGACAGGAGTACAGTGTAAGGCCCACATATTGCTCTGGCTTACCAGTGCCACATATTGCTACTTTAGTTTTAGTTTATATATTGTTAGTTTAATATTCTCAGTATTAGTAGTAGTAATAGCAGTGGTGGTAATAGGAGTGCTGCAGTAGTGGTAGTAGTAGTGTTACCATTTATCGTTATTATAACTATTATTTCTCAAAAACAACTTATGAGGCAACCACCTGGTGGAGGCACCGTGTAGGGTGAGGCAGCCACCTGGAGGAGGCACTGTAGAGGCAGCCACTTGGTGGAGGCACTGTGTAGGTGAGGCAGCCACTGGTGGAGGCACCGTGTAGGGTGAGGCAGCCCTGGTGGAGGCACCGTGTAGGTGAGGCAGCCACCCAGGAGGCACTCGTGTGGTGAGGCAACCACCTGGTGGAGGCACCGTGTAGGTGAGGCAACCACCTGGTGGAGGCACCGTGTAGGTGAGGCAGCCACCTGGTAGAGGCACCGTGTAGGTGAGGCAGCCACCTGGAGGAGGCACCGTGTAGGTGAGGCAGCCACCTGGTGGAGGCACCGTGTAGGTGAGGCAGCCACCTGGTGGAGGCACCGTGTAGGTGAGGCAACCACCTGGTGGAGGCACCGTGTAGGTGAGGCAGCCACCTGGTGGAGGCACCGTGTAGGTGAGGCAGCCACCTGGTGGAGGCACCGTGTAGGTGAGGTAGCCACCTGGTGGAGGCACCGTGTAGGTGAGGCAGCCACCTGGTGGAGGCACCGTGTAGGTGAGGCAGCCACCTGGTGGAGGCACCGTGTAGGTGAGGCAGCCACCTGGTGGAGGCCCCGTGTAGGTGAGGCAGCCACCTGGTGGAGGCACCGTGTAGGTGAGGTAGCCACCTGGTGGAGGCCCCGTGTAGGTGAGGCAGCCACCTGGTGGAGGCACCGTGTAGGTGAGGCAGCCACCTGGTGGAGGCCCCGTGTAGGTGAGGCAGCCACCTGGTGGAGGCACCGTGTAGGTGAGGCAGCCACCTGGTGGAGGCCCCGTGTAGGTGAGGCAGCCACCTGGTGGAGGCACCGTGTAGATTAACACAGTTTTCAGGGGTGCGAAATGTTGTATCAAAGAGCTGTCTAAATCTGTCCTAATATTTCAACCTGGCCACAACACTCCCAGGTGGTGGTGGAGATTTATTTATACTGTATATTTGCCTCACTATCTAGATATATACAGAATATTAACATATCTACCTATATAGCTCTGTATTGCCAATAATTCACATCATCCACACACACACACACACACAGGTTGCTTGGTAGTGTAGTGTTTGTGTCACTGTTCTCCACCTGACCCACACAATCACCAGTTATCTTCTGTACTGTCGTTCTATCTCTCTTTTGTCTAGGTTAAGGTCACGATAATATGACACAATTATACAAAAGTATTTATCAGTTAATCTATACTAGAACATTAACCTGTGTTTGTATAGTTGTGTCTGAGTGAAAATTTTTGAAATATAAATATTGATGTTGTCTGCAGGTGGCCAGTTGACAGCACTAAAGAGTTGATTTTGACCTTGATAATACACAAAGACATTAACCTAACCTAACCTAACCCTAACCTAACCTAACCTAACCACACAGTAGTTGCCTTGACCTCCCTCAGGCACGCCACCACATACATCCTCATCAATTTATTGGTCAATTCCTATGATTTATCTAATGAATAAATCTTTGGCCCCAGGATTAATCTCTTCATCTAAGGACTTAACGTGGTCTTCAGGTTAACTTAATTTAACATTTTATTATTAAGATGACTTGACTATTTTATGTTGTTATGGCGGCTGAGCTATTTTATTTTAACATTACATTATGGCGTCTGTGCTATTTTAACATTACATTATGGCGTCTGTGCTATTTTAACATTACATTATGGCATCCAAGCTATTTTATTTTAACATTACATAATAGCGTCTGTGCTATTTTAACATTACATTATGGCGTCTGTGCTATTTTAACATTACATTATGGTATCCAAGCTATTTTATTTTAACATTACATAATGGCGTCTGTGCTATTTTAACATTACATTATGGCGTCTGTGCTATTTTATTTTAACATTACATAATAGCGTCTGTGCTATTTTAACATTACATTATGGCGTCTGTGCTATTTTAACATTACATTATGGTATCCAAGCTATTTTATTTTAACATTACATTATGGCGTCTGTGCTATTTTAACATTACATTATGGCGTCTGTGCTATTTTAACATTACATTATGGTTAACATTTTAACATTTATGGCGTCTGTGCTATTTTAACATTACATTATGGTGCTATTTTATTTAACATTACATAAGCGTCTGTGCTATTTTAACATTACATTATGGCGTCTGTGCTATTTTAACATTACATTATGGTATCCAAGCTATTTAATTTTAACATTACATAATGGCGTCTGTGCTATTTTAACATTACATTATGGTATCCAAGCTATTTTATTTTAACATTACATAATAGCGTCTGTGCTATTTTAACATTACATTATGGCGTCTGTGCTATTTTAACATTACATTATGGTATCCAAGCTATTTAATTTTAACATTACATAATGGCGTCTGTGCTATTTTAACATTACATTATGGTATCCAAGCTATTTTATTTTAACATTACATAATAGCGTCTGTGCTATTTTAACATTACATTATGGCGTCTGTGCTATTTTAACATTACATTATGGTATCCAAGCTATTTAATTTTAACATTACATAATGGCGTCTGTGCTATTTTAACATTACATTATGGCGTCTGTGCTATTTTATTTTAACATTACATAATGGCGTCTGTGCTATTTTAACATTACATTATGGCGTCTGTGCTATTTTATTTTAACATTACATAATGGCGTCTGAACTACTTTATGTGTCTTTATGTAATGGTGTGTGTTGTTACGTGTTCCGTAGGTAATGGTGTTATGTAGGTACTGACCGGTGTTACGTTGTTACTGATCGATGCTCCGTGGTTACTGATCGATGCTCCGTGGTTACTGATCGATGCTACGTGGTTACTGATCGATGTTCCGTGGTTACTGATCGATGCTCCGTGGTTACTGATCGATGCTCCGTGGTTACTGATCGATGTTCCGTGGTTAATACTGTAGTTCGCTTTTATTGTATTATATTAAGTACAGGTACACAAAAGACGAAGAGATTAAATTACAGATAAGTTAAGGAGCTGGAGGGATTACAGTGCGGGTACAGACATGTCAAACGTATTTATATTTTCATGAGTTTATTTAATATTGAAATCGAAATATATATAAAAAAGTATTTATATATCACAGAAATTATATATACTGCATATTATAGAAAGTATATATATATATTATAGATAGATATATGTAAAAGTATATATAGTATAAAAAATATATATATATGAAAGATAAATATTAGACATAGATATCTTTTTTTTCTCCCCCTACACCATTACTGACCAGGCACGAATGACAATGTTACACGTAATGATGTAATTTGCGTTCAATTATCAGTGAATTATTTGATGATTGTGACAGCCCACCACGATTATCTGAATTTTTGGGTTGGCAGCCGGACGTGTTGTATTTTGGGGGTCTCTGTGAGTTGGGTTGAACGAATCCAGGGTAAAATAGTTACAGGAAATGTTACAGAAAAAGTTACTTGGAAAATTTACAGGAAAAAGTTACAGGAAAAGTCACAGGAAAAAAAATTAGGAAAAAAGTCACAGGAAAAAAATTACAGGGAAAAAGTTACAGGAAAAAATTACAGGAAAAAAGTCACAGGAAAAAGTCAGGAAAAAATCAGAAAAAAAAATCACAGAAAAAATCACATTAAATAAAATTACAGTAAAAACGACGCAGGGAAAAAGTCTCAGAACGTAACGTAACGTAACGTAACAGATGAGTTACTGAGTTACATTAAAATACAGTATATGGGGGGGGGGGGGAGTATTTTTCTGTTCACGTTATTTGGCTGTTTGTACACGTTTCATTCATGTGTTCGGGACTACATATTGTAACACCTAAAACAAAACAGAATTGGATGAAAAAATACGCCACAAAGTCAAAAAGGTTAGGTTTGGTTAAGTTAGGTTGGGTTTGGTTAGGTTAGGGTACGGTAGGTTAGGTTTGGTTAAGTTAGGTTGGGTTTGGTTAGGTTAGGGTACGGTAGGTTAGGTTTGGTTAGAATAACGTTAAGGTTGTTAATCTTAGGTGAAATAAACTGGGATGTTAATCTTCACTTAAACGGAGGCAGATTATTACAACACACCGACAACAGCAGGCCAGAGCCTCTCCCTCCCTTCGCCGTCCAATAACAAGGTTGACTGTGCTTTATACTGTGTTCTGATTGGCCCCTTCATCTCTTCCGCTGCACTGAAATTTCCTGCCTGCGACAATCATAATTATGTGTGTACAGGATATGTATGTACGCATGTTTTTGTTCACACACACACACATACGCATGCACACCACATACATAAACACACACACACCTCCTACATACACACACACCCACACCTACACACACACACATAGGGTGGTGCAAAAGTAATATTTTTTTGCGCGTCGTATTCTGCTATATTTGTCATAGTAATACTACTACTACTACTACTACTACTACTACTACTACTACTACTACTACTAATAATAATAATAATACGACCACCAGAGCGGGAAGCAGTAACCTTAATAATTGTATTAACAATTTAAGAGGTAGAGAACAGCGTGGTCCAGGCGCCTCCAAGACTAACCCTTCCTCCGACGCCACCTAACTACCTTACTGCTCGTTAGTCTTTCTTCCTAACTACCTTACTGCTCGTTAGTCTTTCTTCCTAACTACCTTACTGCTCGTTAGTCTTTCTTCCTAACTACCTTACTGATCGTTAGTCTTTCTTCCTAACTACCTTACTGCTCGTTAGTCTTTCTTCCTAACTAAATTACTGATCGTTAGTCTTTCTTCCTAACTACCTTACTGATCGTTAGTCTTTCTTCCTAACTACTTTACTGCTCGTTAGTCTTTCTTCCTAACTAAATTACTGATCGTTAGTCTTCTTATTACTGCTAATTACTCAACTACAATTACTGAACTATCCGGCCTAGGGATAACTGCCTTATCAATCATTATTATACATTTTTCTCATAACTAATCATTTCCCTGATGTCATCTTAATTACCTTCCTAGTTGTTAGGTCTTTCTTTAATTACTTCATTATCCTGCGCCATGTTAATTACCCTTCTGGTAGTTAATTCGGTCATTTACTTAACTAATTAACTATCCCACACCCCTTTAACTACCCCCACGGTCGTTAATTAAGTCTGCTCAACGAGTTAACTACCCCACACCATGATAATTGACATTTTAACTATCTCACAATATCTTAATTACCCTCAAGATCGTTTGGGTTTTGTGTAACTACTATACTACCCCTCACCCCCTTAATTAACCCCCACTTGGTGATTAGGTCTTTGTTAAATTACTCGACTGTCTGTGAAACTCCCACACAGTATGCAAATTAGATAAGATCTCCTAGCAACCTATTAAAGGTCTATTGAACACCTGTCTTGTCTATCTCTACAGTAGATAGGCAATAGAATAGGATCTATCTCTTGGAATATAGGAAATAACTGTATATTTCTGTATCTATCATCTATATCTGTCTGTTCATTTATCTATCTATCTATCTATCTATCAATGTGTCTATCTGTTTATTCATTCATCTATCTGTGGTGGTGGTGGTGGTGTGGTGTGTGGTGGTGGTGGTGGTGTGGTGGTGGTGGTGGGTGGTGGTGGTGGTGGTGTGGTGGTGTGGTGGTGGTGGTGGTGGTGGTGGTAGTGTTGTGGTAGTGGTGGTAGCAATAACAGTAAGAGTAATAGTAGTGACAATAGTAGTAGTAGTAATAGCAATAGTATTAGTAGTAGTAGTAGTAGTAGTAGTGGCTGGTGGTTGAGACCATCTTGGTGACCACAGTCCGTCACCTGCAACACTCATGTACACAAGGGATTCACCAGCACGAAAACTGGCACACAACA